ATCATCAGGTATAATGAAATAGCGACATAGAATATAATCAGAAAACTATAGACAGACATATAAGCAGACAGATATCACCAAGATACATAGAGAGAGCAACCCAGGTACAGAGAGAGGTGATCGTCTCTGTGGGGTGGCCTTAAATAGACAGAGGGGGGCGGAGGCAGAGAGAGGGAGGGGGTAGGGAAAACATTTACAGAATGAAAATTTCCAAAAAAACCTCCCCTGGTGTCTACAAACTCAACACATTCGTCAATGCCACTCACGCGTCTCCTGAACAGCAATATGACAAGTGATAGGCGCTTTGTCACAGAACATACACGCGACATCGCCCCTGTTCCATTATTAAATGTCGCCACGTGTTCAGGAGCTCGCTGTGAACGTCTGCTGCTGGCCACGACGAGCGAAGATTCAACAATCTGAGTTTGTTTTTGCACTGGAGGAGGAATCCGATGAGCGATAAAGCTCTTTGATCACAGATGTCCAGCGGTGTCGTTGCTTTATCCTGACAATGGTGGCGCCGCCTATCGCCCACAGTCGGTCACGGCGCCTCCACGAACAGCAAAACGTTTCTCGTCACATCTCTAACGTCTTAACAGGGACTTAAAAACAGCAAAATCGAGGGCGACAAGAGGTCAGTGTTTTTCCAAGCTGGTTCACCAATGTGAAAATGTCACGAACAATAATGCTGGGCGTTACATTAAAATTTTAATTTAAAAAAATTCGCCTGTGGAGGATGCGGGCATCGATCCCGCTACCTCTCGCATGCTAAGCGAGCGCTCTACCATCTGAGCTAATCCCCCTCGGCGTGGGAGATGCCGCCTCGAGTCCCTTATCTAGGCCACCCTCAGGGCGCATTCTCTCACCAGGGTCCCCGACCCATCGGAGCCTTTCTTTAATCGGGGTGCCCCCTTTGAATAATCAAAGGAACCCGTACCTCTCTCTCTTAATCTCACCCATTTACCCACCCACTCAACTCTCACTCAATCACTCACCCAACAAGAACCACCATTCTCAACTCAGTGGCGTAGACGTCACCATGACGCTTGTGCCAGGCCTAGTGCACCCCTGATAACAACAACAGCAACGCTCAATTCAACAAACACTGCTTACTCCATCATCCCGCTACGACCGTGACGATAGTGCTGCTTGTTGCTGGCCGCTCTGGCTATGAGAGCCCTAATTCTAGATTTGAAGCTTTCGTGACTGCAAGGATTCAGTAAAGTCAAGTAATAAAAAAAATATTATTTTATTTTTAAACATTAAAAATAAAAATATTTTCCCCCTATTACTATTTATATTATTTTTATTACTCTTAGGTTCTTTCGGCAAATGCACGTAGGTAAAATAAATAAATAATATGTTGATTTCTGTTAGCTTTATTATTTATATAAGTATTCCATAAAAAAAGATTTATATAAATATTGATACTTGTTTTATTATTGTTTCTGTTATTATTTTCTACCTCCGTGACTTTACCGAAAAACACAGAGTCTGAGAGCCCTGCCCTGCTGACGATGCTGGGAGGAGTGGCGGCCATGCCGCGGTTTAAGTTCCCCTCGGGGATGTGAGAGTCACGTGGGGCCTGTGGCGCAATGGATAACGCGTCTGACTACGGATCAGAAGATTGTAGGTTCGACTCCTGCCAGGCTCGCATATTTTTTTCATTTTTTTCTATTTTTTAATTCAATAAATTGTGCAGCTATTAAAAAGACTTAACGAAGCATAAATATTAATGAGGCTTTATTTCGTCGTATTTTGTGTTCTTGTAAGTCAAGATTACTACTTTGTTGTTGTGTGCTCTGAAGGGTTCTTGCCCGAAACGTCGCCTATCACACTTTTCCCTTTTAAGCCGCACAGTGGAGGCTCGTGAAGGACGCCGCCGCTGCTGCTGCTGCTGGGCAGTTGGAGGAGGCAGTCGCCCTCCAACAACAACGCAAGGCAGAGGAGCGACGCTCACAACAACGAGCGGGAAGCGGCAGGCCGCTAAAACGCAGCGAGTTGGCGCAGGAGAGGGCACAGGTGGTGCATCTGCCGATCATCCCTAAGCCAGGCGACTCGTGGGCACCTGGGGTCTGTCCCCGTGACCTCCTGCCAGCAGGGAGCCTGCCACACTTCACGTGGCGGCCTCGGGGTGCACCTAGCCTGGCACAGCAAGCGCCGGTGGCGAATGGCGGCTGTTGTGTTCGTGCCACGTTGTCTCCGTGTCTGTTAAGAGAGAGTTCACGTATTTGGTGTAGCCCTGTGAGCCATTCGGCTCTTGAATCGGGTGCAACTGCAACAAACAAAAAACATGAACAAGAAAACATCTTAAAGTGACTAAGTGCAAACAGAAAATCCAAGAAAAGACAGCACAATATTGCAGAAAAAGCACCGTACACCAACACTGTGTGCAAAAATCCCAGTGGGATGCAAGTCAAACAACAACAACAACCACAAGACAACTTAGATTAAGGCCATCAGTCTAACTCTGTACTACAACAAACAAACATGGCCAAACCAAAATACTTTTCGAAAATCACCAAAATAAAGCCTTAAAAGCAATGAAAGAGAGAGCGCTAAGTGTGGAGGCGATTACAATCACCCACGTTTTAATGTGAATGTAATTTTACGACGTTATCGCTTTTATTGTTCAGTTTTTATTTTAAAGAAGTTATGTAATTGTGGAATGCTTTGATGTTGTCTACCGGTCGTGATCTTCAACGTCGAATTCACGCGTTCGTGTTGAACGCAAGCTGGGGTCAGGATACAAACTTGGGTGCCCCAAACTCCACGGATCAAATCTGCCACCCTGAGTCCGATGACTGCTCTCCGCTACTAATGGGGCTCAGCGTTAGTGCGTCAGGACGGGGCCTGTGGCGCAATGGATAACGCGTCTGACTACGGATCAGAAGATTGTAGGTTCGACTCCTGCCAGGCTCGAATATTTTTTAGTGTCAAATCTTTTTTTGTTCGTGGTCAACTTCTCCTCATACTGTTACTTGCCGTTGACTATTTATTTTATACTCTAACTACAATTGTTGGGAGAGCGGAGGGCGCATTTGATGAATGTGTGGGGTTTTGGTGCGTGCGTGTGCGTGGCGGTGGAGGTTTTGATTGTTGAGTGTCAACCACCCGTGGGTCGGTTGGCTGGTCCGATGTGTAGGAGGGTGGCGCTGCCCACCCACCCCCCTCGTGTACCCTACCGGCCTTCATAGGTGCTCGCTAACAGCACTTGCCACAACATTATGTTAAGGCTAGACGGGGGATCTTTGTCTGTGAGCTCTCGCGTTGATGTTAATTTTGTTGGGGGTTCACTGCCTCCTACTGGCCGCGTTGAGTCAGTGCAGACACAAACACTCCCACAAGGACAACTCACGTGGTTGGTCAATGATGATTAGAACACTGGACAATAATTATCCACATCGATCTCCGGGCGCGGCAGTTAATCCAATGGGGTAGGTTCCTTAAATTGTACCCCTCCCCCACCTGCTCCACGTGCCCCCCACATTAGACCCCACACCCCACTCCCCGCAGTAGAAATGGGCACCGCCGCATGTCGCCAATCGGAAGAATCTCGTGCCGTGGGGTAAAGTGTGGGGAACGTTCCACCTCTTCGGGGACGTCTGGCCAACGTGGGAATTGGAGGCCAAAATATCCTCTGGCGAATGCCCTTTCGCAGCAAGCACGCGATTCGATAAAAAGTCACGATTCGATTTTTTGTATCAAATAATCGTTCACCCGCTCAACACACACCCACCCACCTACACACACTCAACCACTCACAGACCCACTTACTCAACCACTCGCCCAACCACCCACCCAACCACCCACCCACCCAACCACTCACCCACTCACCCACCCACCCAACCACCCACCGCACTGGGGTTAGAATAGTGGCACAGTGGTTAGCGCACTCCGCTAAGACTCCGGCGAGGCAAGTTCGAATCCACGGCTGTCATCAGTGACCAGCGTGGTGAAGTATGACCAACAACAACCCGCCATTCGCCACGTAACTAGCTTCTTCGGCGACATCACTACGGCGCTTGTGCCAGGCTAGGTGCACCTTGAGGTCACCACGTGCTCGCTGACAGGTAGTAGTCACAGGAGAGGTGCAAGGTGCCATGGGCTAACCGACATCGGGCACACACAACCACTGTGACCCCGATGGCGTGGGGAGTGTATGGAGTAATGCGAGAGCCCCGCTGTTTAATCATGCATGAGCGTACGTGTATATTTCAGTGTACGCTCATTGCTAGCTATGTATTATTAGCCATTAAAATTTAAATATATATATTTTAGTGATATCGATGGTACCCTTTTCGCCAGCATTTTGGCAGTAACAATGGGCTTTACCCTTTCCGCCAAGAATACAGTAGGCGTGAAGATGGTCAAACACCGAATAGACATTTATTTCAAGGCATCTGCATTAACCACAAAGCATTGTGGTAAAATATGCAAACGTGTAATAATCTGTGCAATTATTTTGTATTACTGTAATTGGCCTACACCAGATATGAGCAATGCCAGAAGGTGAACAGGACAATGCACAGAGACACGCTTTGACAATGTATGCTTGGTACTTGACATTGATTGGTGTAGACAACAGCTACATCATACTAATTTGTGGCCTTGTCTCACCAGTGTTAGACCAGAGGCAAACGGTCCTTGGATGTTTAACTCTCTGGCAGTTCATGAGCAATTGGTTCAAGCAACCTTGCCTCCACTGATGAGACACTGCATGTCGAAACCAGCCCTTGCCTATAAGCGATCTCTATGAGCGCCAGCGACTACTGTATGGCAGCCGATATCAACCTGCACAAGCTGGTTGCCTCAGGCTGCTGTGGGGTGACGCGATCGGCAAGCAGAGAGCACTGACCAGCGTGGTGAAGTATGGTCAAATAACCTCCCGAGTTTCACTCTCCGGGTTCAGCGGCCGCGCCGCCTTTGTCAGCTTCACCCGGTGTCATACCCCCACCCCCCTCCCTTTAAGCCCCCCCCCCCCCGATCAGGCGCTCAATGCCCGAGCCTAATTACCATAACAATGACAATCATAACAAAGGGACAGCACAAAAGATCTCCTCCCTCCGCAATGGGGCCACGTCACACGATGGCCATCTCAGCGGAGCAGGCACGGAGAGGGACCTCTGCATCAGAGAGACGCCGCCCGCCCGATTGGTGGCGCGTTCGACTTCGCACTGACGGCCGGCATCCCGGCCCTGCCCGCCTACCACCCGACTCACTGTCATTCATTCATTCGTTCACTAAATCGGTCATTCATTTATTCATTCATTTGTCCAGCCAGTCGCTTGCTCACGCGCACGCTCACTCACCCATCCCACCCATCGCGGTAAGCGCCCCGTCCCTTATCTTTCGCTCTTGTTTTCTCGTTCTCCCGTCCCGCTCCGGGAGGCGGGAGCTGGAGCTGGAGGAGGAGGAGAGACGCGAGGGTGATGCTGCGACCTCCCCCACGGCCACGCTCCCAACCTCGCCCCACGCTCCCACCCCGCGTCGCGCTCCGTTCGCGACGCCGCGTTCGCGGAGGAGAGAGCGCGTGACCGCCTCTCGCGACGCGACACGAGGTGCGACGCGTGCTCACGGCCCACAGCGAGACGGGTGACCGCGCGTGTGTGCGGCGAGTGAGTGTGAGTGTGTCGACTCAGCCTCGCACGAGTGCCTGCTGCGGTGTGCGAACATCGCCGCTAGGGAGACAAAGGCAGCCGGGCGTGGTGCTGTCCACCCACCCCCTCCTGTGCCGTGCCGGCCTTCATAGGTGCTACTCGCTAACAGCACTTGCCCAAACCGTCCGGTAAGGCTATACGGGGGATCTTTGTCTTTGTTGTGTGTGGCATTGGCTATTACACAACACACACGCCCTGTGTATTTAAATAACCAGCACTGGCTGCATGGGCCTTGATTTCTGTACTTACACATGGATACACGGTGGCGCGTATGGACTGTGTGTGTACACCTTTGTGGATTCTGGCCGTCCCCTAGGTCGGCTCAGCCTCAAATGAGTACGTGGTTACGACGTCAAAAAATCGCCGCTAGGGCGAACACATCCGTTGAATCGGTCCTGGGCAATCTTCTACGTCGACTTAGCCTCAAATGGGTACCTACTGTGCTGTGTGTACACGGCAGCTGCGGGGGAGACAAAGGTGGTGCTAGTCACACGGCACCGTCGGCTACGTACGGTGCGAAAGAAGTTCAACATACATGCGAGCACCTTCGTAGGAGCTCGCTAAACAGCACTTGCCCCACCAGGGCAAGAGCCTACACAGGTGATGTTTGTCTTTATACGGTAATTCGCTATTACACACGCAGCGCGAATACGATTAGCCGGTGCCGCATTGGTGGTGATGCGTTTGTTGTGTATCCGTGTGTTCATGCGATGGCGGGAGCGGTGGCGCAGCGGTTAGCGCGACACACCAACGAATCTTGCTACGCGAGCGGGTGAGGGCGAGCGGGTGAGGAGGAGGCGGCGGGTGGACGATGGTGGACAGCCCTGACCCCTGCGAGGTGGCCGCGCGGCTCCGCGAACTCGCGTCCGACCCGCGGCTCCGCGCGGCCGTCGCGCGCGAGCACGGCGGCTGCCTGCCGGGCCTCGTGATGCTGCTCGACCAGCCCGGGCCGGAGGTGGTGACCACCGCGCTGCAGGTGTCCACCACCACCACGTCCACCGCCACCATCGCGTCCACCACCACCACGTCCACCACCACGTCCACCACCACCATCGCGTCCACCACCACCACGTCCACCGCCACCATCGCGTCCACCACCACCACGTCCACCACCACCGCGTCCTCCACCGCTATTACGTCCTCCTCCGGAAAAACAGCCACCGGCACAACTAAAATCACCACCGTGATTGTCAGCATACCCACCACCACGAACCATAACCACTACCGCTGCAACCACCGTCACAAGGGACCACCACCACCACGTCCACCACCACCACGTCCACCACCACCACGTCCACCACCACCACCACGTCCTCCACCACCACCACCACGTCCACCACCACCACAGCACCACCACCACCACCACAGCACCACCGTGGTGGCTGAGTGTGGTTGTCGCGGTGCGCAGGCGCTGCGCTACCTGGCCGAGTGCGTGGACAGCCGCGGCCGCATGATGAGCGAGCTGGGCCTCATGGTCAGCCTGCAGCACATCGCTGACAGGTGCCCTCACCCCCCCTCACCACCACCCTCGCCTCCTCACCCTCACCCCCTCACTCCCTCACCCCCTAACCCCGTCACCCCCTCACCGCCTCACCCCCTCACCCCTCACCCCCTCGCCCCCTCACCCCCTAACCCCGTCACCCCCTCACCGCCTCACCCCCTCACCCCCTCACCCACTCACCCCCTCACCCCCTCACCGCCTCACCCCCTCACCCCCTAACCCCGTCACCCCCTCACCGCCTCACCTCCTCACCCCCTCACCCTTCACCGCCTCGCCCCCTCACCCCCTCACCCCTCACCCCTCACCCCCTAACCCCGTCACCCCCTCACCGCCTCACCCCCTCACCCCTCACCCCCTCACCCCTCACCCCCTCACCGCCTCACCCCCTCACCCCTCACCCCTTCACCCACTCACCCCCTCACCCCTCACCGCCTCACCCCCTCACCCCCTAACCCCGTCACCCCCTCACCGCCTCACCCCCTCACCCCCTCACCCACTCACCCACTCACCCCCTCACCCCCTCACCGCCTCACCCCCTCACCCCCTCGCCCACTCACCCCCTCACCCACTGACCCCCTCACCCACTCACCCCCTCACCCCCTCACCCACTCACCCACTCACCCCCTCACCCCCTCACCGCCTCACCCCCTCACCCCCTCGCCCACTCACCCCCTCACCCACTGACCCCCTCACCCACTTACCCCCTCACCCCCTCGCCCACTCACCCCCTCACCCCCTCACCCCCTCACCCCCTCGCCCCCTCGCCCCCTCGCCCACTCACCCCCTCACCCCCTCACCCCCTCGCCCACTCACCCCCTCACCCCCTCACCCACTCACCCCCTCACCCACTCACCCCCTCACCCCCTCACCCCCTCACCCCCTCACCCCCTAACCCCGTCACCCCGTCACCCCGTCACCCCCTCACCCCCTCACCCCCTCGCCCCCTCACCCCTCACCCCCTAACCCCGTCACCCCTCGCCTCCTCACCCCCTCACCCTCACCCCTTCACCCTCGTACCCTAACCCCCGTCCTCTCACCCCCTCACTTCCCATCCTATAACCCCTGACCCCTCACCCTATGACCCTCCTTCACCCTGTGAATCTCTGGGGGTCAGCCCACGTAGTAATCGCGCCAAATTTAACCGTGAAATCTCTCAATGACACAACGGGTCAATCCCGGGTTGTCGAGCCTCCCCCCTCCTTGCGTTCCGCGTTATAACGGGCTGCACGTTCCGCGTTATAACGGGCTGCACGTTCCGCGTTATACCGGGCTGCACGTTCCGCGTTATAACGGGCTGCACGTTCCGCGTTTTGCGAAAAGTGTCCCCCCATGGAAAAACCGCGCCATAGCGAAAACGCGTTCTAGTGTGTAGTGTATAAATGTTGCACTTCTTTTGCACCGTACGTAACCACCCGCGCTAATCGGAGGTGCTGCGTGAACACTGCCACGCGTTAAGCGGGGAGTTGGCAGAGTGAGGGGATCCCTCCGAGGGTGACTGGCGGTGAGGACGACGACGTGAGATGGTCGATCACAAACCCCGCCCCCCCCCCCCAACAGGACCGACTTCCCACCGGAGACGCGCTCGCTCGCCACGGAGATCTACGATCTGCTGAGTCGCTGGGACGGGGCCGAGGAGGAGCCCCCCCCCACGAGCCCGCCCCCCCCGTCGGCCGCGGTGGGGGGGGGCGGCGGTGCGGGCCCCCCCCCCGAGGGGGCGGTGGGTCTCGGCGAGGCGGCGCCGGGGGCCGCGAGGCGCCGCCGCGCCCGCCCCTTCCTGGGCAGCACCAACAAGCGCGCCAGGACGGTGACGCTGCACATCGACGGGCTCACCGACGTCGTGAGGACCCCCCACGACTCCCTCGCCCCGCCCCCCCGCCCCTCAGCTACTCTCTGCCGCCCAACCCCCCCCCCCCCACCACAGTTGTTTTTGCGCCGATTGCTGTTTGGTTATTTCTACTTTGCCTCCTGTCGTTGACGCAGCCACGCGAGGCGTCCGTACCCCGGTCGCTCGCACGGTCGCGGAGACTCACGCCGAGTCGTGACGCCCCCCCTCCCTTCCCTGCCCCCTCCCCTGCCCCCCCAACCCCAAGGAGCGCCGAGCGCGCTGCGAGGAGGCTCTCCTCACCGTGCGGGGCGTCATCAGCTTCACCTTCCAGATGCACGCACAGAGGTGCATCGTGCGCATGCGCGCCGACCTCAAACCCGAGGTCAGGGTCACCCCCCCCGGCCCCCCTCTCCCTCCTGCATCGCTCCCCACCCTCCTTCCCTCCCCTCCCTCCCTCCCTCCCTCCCTCCCTATCCACCCTCCCTCACGGTACCACCAGCAACACAGCCATGCAGCCCCCCCCCCCGAAATGTCTTATATCCTATCATTCCGTTAATACCGAAACCTGCGCCCCCTCCTCTTGACTCCCACATGCCCCGTACCCTCTGTGTGCCCCCCACGTGCCACCACCACGCCCCCCCCCCCCGCGTGCCTCCCACGTGGCCCTCCCCCGTGCCCCCCACGTGGCCCTGCCCCGTGCCCCCCACGTGCCCCCCCCCCAGTGTCTCGCCACTGCGATCGCCACCACTCAGCTCATGGCGGCGCAGCAGGTGGTGAAGAACGAAGCGGGGGAGGAGGTGAGGTCACACTCACCATCCTCACCACACATCCTCACCACACACCACTCACCACACATCCTCACCACACACCACTCACCACACATCCTCACCACACACCACTCACCACACATCCTCACCACACACCACTCACCACACATCCTCACTACACACCACTCACCACACATCCTCACCACACACCACTGACCACACATCCTCACCACACACCACTCACCACACATCCTCACACACCACTCACCACACATCTCACCACACATCACTCACACATCTCACACACACTCACCACACATCCTCACCACACACCACTCACCACACATCCTCACCACACACCACTCACCACACATCCTCACCACACACCACTCACCACACATCCTCACCACACACCACTCACCACACATCCTCACCACACACCACTCACCACACATCCTCATCACACACCACTCACCACACATCCTCACCACACACCACTCACCACACATCCTCACCACACACCACTCACCACACATCCTCACCACACATCCTCACCACACACCACTCACCACACATCCTCACCACACATCCTCACCACACACCACTCACCACACATCCTCACCACACACCACTCACCACACATCCTCACCACACATCCTCACCACACACCACTCACCACACATCCTCACCACACATCCTCACCACACACCACTCACCACACATCCTCACCACACATCCTCACCACACATCCTCACCACACACCACTCACCACACATCCTAACCACACATCCTCACCACACATCCTCACCACACACCACTCACCACACATCCTCACCACACATCCTCACCACACATCCTCACCACACACCACTCACCACACACCACTCACCACACACCACTCACCACATATCCTCACCAAACATCCTCACCACACACCACTCACCACACACCACTCACCACACACCACTCACCACACATCCTCACCACACATCCTCACCACACCACTCATCACACCACTCACCAAACATCCTCACCACACACCACTCACCACACATCCTCACCACACATCCTCACCACACATCCTCACCACACACCACTCACCACACACCACTCACCACACTACCTCACCACACCACTCACCACACATCCTCACCACACATCCTCACCACACATCCTCACCACACACCACTCACCACACATCCTCACCACACATCCTCACCACACACCACTCACCACACACCACTCACCACACTACCTCACCACACCACTCACCACACATCCTCACCACACATCCTCACCACACATCCTCACCACACATCCTCACCACACACCACTCACCACACTACCTCACCACACCACTCACCACACATCCTCACCACACATCCTTACCACACATCCTCACCACACATCCTCACCACACACCACTCACCACACATCTTCACCACACATCCTCACCACACACCACTCACCACACACCACTCACCACACTACCTCACCACACCACTCACCACATATCCTCACCACAATCCTCACCACACATCCTCACCACACATCCTCACCACACATCCTCACCACACATCTTCACCACACTTCCTCACCACACATCCTCACCACACATCCTCACCACACATCTTCACCACACATCCTCACCACATATCCTCACCACACATCCTCACCACACATCTTCACCACACTTCCTCACCACACATCCTCACCACACATCCTCACCACACATCCTCACCACACTTCCTCACCACACATCTTCACCACACATCCTCACCACACTTCCTCACCACACATCCTCACCACACATCCTCACCACACATCCTCACCACACATCTTCACCACACACCACTCACCACACATCCTCACCACACATCCTCACCACACACCACTCACCACACATCCTCACCACACATCCTCACCACACATCTTCACCACACACCACTCACCACACATCCTCACCACACATCCTCACCACACACCACTCACCACACATCCTCACCACACATCCTCACCACACATCTTCACCACACACCACTCACCACACATCCTCACCACACATCCTCACCATACACCACTCACCACACATCCTCACCACACACCACTCACCACACACCACTCACCACACACCACTCACCACACATCCTCACCACAATCCTCACCACACATCCTCACCACACACCACTCACCACACACCACTCACCACACACCACTCACCACACATCCTCACCACATATCCTCACCACACATCCTCACCACACACCACTCACCACACACCACTCACCACACACCACTCACCACACATCCTCACCACAATCCTCACCACACATCCTCACCACACCCCACTCACCACTCACCACACGCCCAAACTCGCTTTGAACTTCAATCGGTCAGCTCATCACTCGCCCCCCTCCTCTCCCCACCCCACGCCCCCCTAAGACTTAAAACCCCATTCTAACAACCGCACGCATACACACACACGCACAGCGTACACCCACACACACACACAGCGCACACACACGCGGGTGCTGTGGAGGCTGCTGAGCTGTTCCGCTGCTGCCCGTCTTTGACGCATTCCAGATCCTCGCTCCGCTGAGCTCCGGTCCGGGCGGTGGCGGCGCCGGCGGCTCCGCTCCGGGTTTTCCCGACTACCTCCCCGAAGACGAGGACGAGGAGGGGGAGGCGACCCCCCGCGAGGCCGTCTCGCGGGGGGGGGCGTCTCACGGGGCCGGGGGGGGCTGGCTCAGCTCCGCCGTCAGCTTCTTCTCGAGGTCCTTCTACTGGTGATGCCCCCGGTGGCAGGCGGGCGGTGGAGTCGTGGGCAGGGTGCAGGAAGAGGGGGGCCCGGCCATCGCGAGCACGGCGCGGTACACGGCTCCATCTCGACCAGGGCGGCACACCACGTCGAGTATACTCTACGGGCTGCGGCTATCGGCTGGCACGCCCCGCCCGGCGGCCTCCAGTGGGAGGTCACGGCCCGGTTCATCCCCCCGACTGCGCGGGCATCCGAACGTTCGCCTGACCCCTGGCGCGTCACGTGATATATTTTTTGCCGAGATATAAATAAAAATGTCAACCGCCCTCTCCGCTGGCACCACGGCTACCACCGCTACCACCGCCACTACCACCACCACAGCCACCACTGCTACCACCACCACTGCCACCACCACCACCGCCACCACCACCACCGCCACCACCGCTACCACCACCACTGCTACCACTGCCACCGCCACCACCGCCACCACCACCACCACCGCCACCACCGCTACCACTGCCACCGCCACCACCGCTACCACTGCCACCACCGCCACCACCGCTACCACCACCACTGCCACCACCACCACCATCGCTACCACTGCCACCGCCGCCGCCACCCTTCGGGTGACCGCCCCAATTCGCCGTACCCGAGGGCCGGCTCTGGTCAATCAGAGACTCGTGAGAGGAGAGGCAGGCGTCCGGTCGAGTCCAGTGCAACGAGGTTCCCCTGCGTTGCTCACCGACGATGCCGTTCCTTTCCCGCCCGAGACCCCCCGCTGCGTTGCCGGAGTGCTGTCAATCGCGCGGCGCGACGTCCGACATTCCGCGCCCATGCCACCAAGAGGCTCGAAGAATCCTTCCCACTTGGTGCAGAGGGTGGGGCCACGGCCGCCTCTGGAGAGCGGTAGAACCTGGATTCGAATCCCAGACATAAATCTAGCCGGGTGGGTGCCACTGGTGGTGGTGGGGGTGGCGACGCAGCTGCACGTGGCGTGGCCTGCGATGCAGCGCTGTGGCGGCAGCATCAGCGAGGGTTGGTGGATCACCGCACGCACAGATGTTGTGGAACTCCCTTCCTCTGGGCAGTCGAGGAGGTGCCCAACCCTGGCTCGCTAGGAGAAGGCGGTACAGAAACGTGTGGAGTAATATCCATCTGTTTCCATATGTATGGGGATAGAGTGCTGGTCCCGCTCGCACAACGTGGGTTTCCTCCCACGTCTATTAATTGGCCGATACCACCTTCATACACAGAGGACCGCGAAGCTTGGGGGGCAATAATCGGTAGCGCCGGCTCCTCGTCACCGCGTGGCTGCTGCTGCTGCTGCTGCCTTCCTGCTCCTCGTCTGTGGTTCCTCCTCCTCCTGGCACCTCCGAGTCGCCCCCCCCCCTCGCTCTCTGTCTCTCCGCGTCGCCATCTCCTCTCCACGAGATCGCCGATCGGACTCTGTGCGGGGGTGGCGGTGCGGCGTGACGGTCCTCCCAGCCACCAACGGAACGCGTTCTGTTTTTAAAGTGTGAACTTGGAATCAGGTTTCACGTCACGTCCGTCACTGTGTCCTCGCTCTAACGCGCACAACCCCCGGGGCCTACGGCTTTGTGAGGCGCGGCCACGGACTAGATATATGAATCCAAATATACATTTGTGTAAAACTACAATGGTCAACCTTGTTGCTGTACGAGTGCCGTAGGTTATGAGAATGCGTAACAATGCCCAATGCTGCTGAAAACGCACAGAATGCACAAGCGTTGTATCTGCTCAGGAAAGGAATCTTCTGTGCTTCGCATCTCCTGCGCACTTACGGTGTAATCTTCCGCTTGTGTGTCCTACATCTCTCCCACATTGTCTACGACATCTCTCTCACCTTGTGTGTCCTACGTCTCTCACCTTGTGTGTCCTACTTCTCTCTGACCTTGTGTGTCCTACTTCTCTCTGACCTTGTGTGTCCTACATCTCTCCCACATTGTCTACGACATCTCTCTCACCTTGTGTGTGTGCTACGTCTCTCACCTTGTGTGTTCTACATCTCTCTGACCTTGTGTGTGCTACATCTCTCACCTTGTGTGTGTGCTACATCTCTCTGATCTTGTGTGTGCTACAGCGTTCACGGCACCTGCTTTTGGACACCGTCACCTTTTGCCAAATAGGTTATGGCGTTTAATTATTTATTTACGTTAACTCGCTCGCCTTAAATGTGTGTGTATGTCTGTGTGTGTGGATAGATGAGAATTAAAGCACCCGTAATGCATTGTCCATTTGTGTTTGTGTCTGGGTCTTGTAACTGGTTGGTGGTGGCGTTACACACTCCCCAGTTCACAATCAAAATCTTTCTGGAGAATATTGATTGAGGCTGGAGGAGGAATCCGATGAGCTATGAAGATCTTGTTCACAGATGTCCAGTAGGGGGCATCGGGTCAGAACGTTACAACAACAAACAATTCCGAACACGATAGGAGTGCAAGGTTTATGAAAGTTTAAAAAATCAATTAAAAAATAGAAAAATAAATAGAAAACAAAACTATGTTTTTTCTCACCAGGTAAGGCCCACTGAGCCGTTCGCTTCATTTTCAGAAACGACCTGGTCTCTCCCCCTTCATCAGCAATTATCCAACCGGGTTTTGGGATTCGCCTTGGAGCAAGCGGCTGTGTCATGAGGCACACGCTTACACAGTCAATGTCGCTTGCCTGACGTTCGATTGAACTGTTCAGAATTTGCAAGCTGAGCTGGGTGTGTTTCAAAATTGTGAGATTCGTTAAGTTTTTCAACAGCTGCGGAATGCAGTAAATAAAAAAATATTATTTAAAAAAATCGAGCCTGGCAGGAGTCGAACCTACAATCTTCTGATCCGTAGTCAGACGCGTTATCCATTGCGCCACAGGCCCCACGTGGCTCCCTGCTACCAGAGACGAACTTATACCGCTACCTCCCCGTTACTCCAACCACCAATCAGATGTCTCACAGCTGTGGCTCAAGCGGCGAGCAACCAACAGCACTATCGTCAGAATCGTAATGAGAGTTCACGGAGTTAACAGTGTTTCTTGAATTGAGCGAAGTTGTTGTGGTTGTTACTGTCAGAGCTTGCTTGGAGGGTAAAGAGACAATGATGATGGGAGGAAGGAATTTCAACATTCCAGAATATCGAATTAAAAAATAAAAATTGCACCTCAGCATCGTAATTATGATGGCTCGTTGTAATACATTTTTCTCAAAATTTCATTTTCTGGCCCCAAAAAATATTTACAAATTAGCACAAAATAATTTTCCCCGATCATAATTCTACAAACTAAATCATATATATTTTTACCAGGCTCACTACAGTGCACGTGGTTGTCTGTAATGCAGCGCAGTGGAGGAAGCAACGAGTGGGTGTATGGCTCACACCGAGATGTCGTCTTCCTCTCTTGCTGTGGGCGTCGGGCAGGAGCCAGACCCTGGCTCGCCAGGAGACGGCGCTGCAGCAAAACGTGGAATTGTCACCAACGGCTCAATATGTGTGGGATAGCGCGTTGCCCCCTCGCACGCGTCGCTTTTACTACGGGTGCTTCGGTGTCCCAAGCCACACGCATGAACCACTCATTGGCTGAAAATATTCATACGTAGAGGACCGCAGAGCGTGGGTAATTATTGACGACACTGGCTCACCGCGTGGATGATGAATGAAGACCCATTAATAAATACTCTCCGTAGCATGATTAATTTAAATATGTCAATGACGAGAGATAATGGATATTTATGGGTTATCATGGGGTTGGTTGGAGAAGCTTAAACCGTGAAATGTGACGGATATGTTCTAACTGCGCACATCCCTGCAGTCAACCCGCTGCTGGATGAAGGCCTGCCGCGCCACAGCGCTGCGCAGTGTGGACTGGTGAAGGCTGGCAGCGGCCTCGACGTGGGGACAATAGTACCGTCTAACAATAGTACTGCCTAACAATAGTACTGTCTAACAATAGTACTGCATAACAATAGTACCGTATCACAATAGTACCGTTTAACAAAAGTACCGTCTAACAAAAGTCTTACAATGGGCTTTACTCTGCACTGCCCTCTGCTGTCTGCTACAAGAGTGAACAAAGTTGTAACCATGAATCGATACATTTTGACATTTAAAACAAACAAAAAATATCGACGTAATAGCAAAGCTCGACTTATGTTTGTGGTTCATTAGGTTTTCCAATTGCCGCGGAATTTGTTGAAAAAAAAAATGTCGAGCCTGGCAGGAGTCGAACCTACAATCTTCTGATCCGTAGTCAGACGCGTTATCCATTGCGCCACAGGCCCCACGTGACTCACAGAGACGAACTTATACCGTTACCTTTCCGTTACTCCAACCACAAATCAGTTTCTCACAGCTATGGCACAAGCGGCTAGTAACCAACAGCACTATCGTCAGAATCGTAACGAGAGTTCACGGAGTTAACAGTGTTTCTTGAATTGAGCGAAGTTGTTGTGGTTGTTACTGGCAGAGCTTGCTTGGAGGGTAAAGAGACAATGATGATGGGAGGAAGGAATTTCAACATTCCAGAATATCGAATTAAAAAATAAAAATTGCACCTCAGCATCGTAATTATGATGGCTCGTTGTAATACATTTTTCTCAAAATTTCATTTTCTAGCCCAAAAAACATTTACAAATTAGCACAAAATAATTTTCCCCGATCATAATTCTACAAACTAAATCATATATATTTTTACCAGGCTCACTACAGTGCACGTGGTTGTCTGTAATGCAGCGCAGTGGAGGAAGCAACGAGTGGGTTGTGTGGCTCACACCGAGATGTCGTCTTCCTCTCTTGCTGTGGGCGTCGGGCAGGAGCCAGACCCTGGCTCGCCAGGAGACGGCGCTGCAGCAAAACGTGGAATTGTCTCCAACAGCTCAATATGTGTGGGATAGCGCGTTGCCCCCTCGCACGCGTCGCTTTTACTACGCGTGCTTCGGTGTCCCAAGCCACGCGCATGAACCACTCATTGGCTGAAAATATTCATACGTAGAAGACCGCAGAGCGTGGGTAATTATTGACGACACTGGCTCACCGCGTGGATGATGAATGAAGACCCATTAATAAATACTGTCCGTAGCATGGTCAATTTAAATATGTCAATGGCGAGAGATAATGGATATTTATGGGATATCACGGGGTTGGTTGGAGAAGCTTAAACCGTGAAATGTGACGGATATGTTCTAACTGCGCACATCCCTGCAGTCAACCCGCTGCTGGATGAAGGCCTGCCGCGCCACAGCGCTGGGCCGTGTGGACTGGTGAAAGCTGGCAGCGGCCTCGACGTGGGGACAATAGTACCGTCTAACAATAGTACTGTCTAACAATAGTACCGTCTAACAATAGTACTGTCTAACAATAGTACCGTCTAACAATAGTACCGTCTAACAATAGTACCGTCTAACAAGTCTTACTCTACACTGCCCTCTGCTGTCTGCCACAAGAGTAGTCAAAGTTGTAACCATTAATCGATACATTTTCACATTAAAAACAAAAATTATATACGCAATAATACAGCTCGACTTATATTTGTGCTTCGTCAGGTATTTCAATTGCCGCGGAATTCATTGAAATGCAAAAAAAAATGAAAAAAAATCTCGAGCCTGGCAGGAGTCGAACCTACAATCTTCTGATCCGTAGTCAGACGCGTTATCCATTGCGCCACAGGCCCCACGTGACTCCCTGCTACCAGAGACGAACTTATACCGCTACCTCCCCGTTACTCCAACCACCAATCAGATTTCTCACAGCTGTGGCTCAAGCGGCCAGCAACCAACAGCACTATCGTCAGGGTCGTAATAAGATAACGAAGTTAACCGTGTTTCTTGACTTAAAATAAAACATGCTTCAAATCGCTTTAAACTATTGTGATTGTCGTATTTAATGTGGCGCTGCACTCTGATGTTGTAGGAGAAAACATAAAAAAGTCTATTTAATTAAGTAGAACATGTTGTCTATATTTATTTAAAGTTGCGCATTTTGATGTGACGTCACATTTCTCAAACCCCCTCCCCTCGCCACACATCGTCACAAGTGTCTGACCCCCCCCCCCCACCCCTAGGATGCGTGACGTCATTTATGGACGGCCCCAAAGTCATTCGTCCGGTGGGGTAAAGTGTGGGTAACTGCCCACCTCCTTCCGACTCTATAACAACCTGGAAGCGGGGGGTAGGGACGTGGGGGCGGTCCCGTTACAGAACAGTATTCTGAACCGGTTTAACCGAAGCTTACAATACCGGTTACCGGTTAACAGTGGCCAGCAGAGGGCAGCACCGGCCCCTGCAGCCCGACCTGGGTCGGGATCGTGAAATGGCCGAGAGGGTGGCGACTTCGCCGCCTCGACCACCCCGAGCGAGGGTCCCGGTCCCAGCAGCGCTCATGCGGAGACCCCCGTGGGCTCGCGGCTCGCGTGAGGACGACAGCCATCGTTCAGGGTCACGGGTCGAGCTGAGGTCATCGTTCAGGGTCACGGGTCGAGCTGAGGTGATCGTTCAGGGTCACGGGTCGAGCTGAGGTCATCGTTCAGGGTCACGGGTCGAGCTGAGGTCAGGGTTTGGAGAGTGATCGAGCATTTCGCAGGTTTAGGGACAACAAACAACAACGACGACTCGACACATTCGTCAATAGCAGCGAGGCCTTACATACTAAACATTTAAGTTGACGTTTCGGGCACTGGCCCTGCTTCATAGCACATCGGTGCTCAAGGTGTCATTGACGCACGGGGCTGAGTGTTTTATTGCGAACTGCGCCACAGCCAAAGCGGCGGCAGCAGTGGGAGTGTCACGAACATCGCGATGAGTGTCACGTTATACATAACGTCTTGTCGTTCGTGCAAATTGCATCTCTCAGCAAGCGCCGAGGAGGAACCGCCTAAAAAGACAAAGGCGGCATGCAGCAGCAGCCAAATGTGAAACACGTGTCGCCTTACATTTCATAAAATAAATAAAATCATCGTGGAGGATGCGGGCATCGATCCCGCTACCTCTCGCATGCTAAGCGAGCGCTCTACCATCTGAGCTAATCCCCCAGCCGTGAAGCGGTGGGGGAAGGAGTTGAGAAGACATTTTATAACAATGATTGTAGAAATACAGCGACATTGAAGAAGTGGGAGTTGCGAATGCAGAAGACTGACGCGGTACATTTGATGTTTACATTTGTGCTCCTACTCATTTGATTCCTTCATGAGATTCATATTTATATCCTCGATAAGACATACATAATTTAATCACAATACATATTGTCTTGACATGTGAT